AAGGCTACTAGAAATAACAACAGGTGCATTTGATATTCAAAGTTTTAAATTTAGTGAATTTAGTATTGTCTTGACATAACTTTTACACATTTAAAAGAAACAATTTTTTAACGGATTGAAGTTATGTATTTATGTATTATAAATTTACAATTATTTTACATAATTTTAAATTTAACAGATGTTTCGCGTGCTTTAGAAAATAGAGGACACCGTGAGCCATTTCTACCAAAACCCTCCATCTTTTAGTCGATACCAACTCTGCGGAAATAAATACACATAATACAACTTTTTTCTACAGCTGTGACACTTTTTAACATTCAACACCTTTTGTCTTCAGTCACCGTGACAAGCACGCTGAATTTATCAAAACTTATCGAATAATATGTTGAGCAGTGTTGGCCTAGTGGCGTGCAACTCTTATCCTTGAGGTAGTAGGTTCGATTTCCAGCTGAGCACTAATTGCACTTTCTCTATGTGCGCATTTAGTATTCGCTCGTACGGTAAAGAAAAACATCGTGAAGGCTTGGCTTGGAACCGGCTTGCCTTAAACCCAAAAACTCCACTCATATTTGCCAATTATAACAAACGATCATGAAACAGATTCAGAAATCTGAATTTAATGTTTTTATCATATAATATGTAGGTGATTAAAATATAAATAATTTGAAAAATGGAAGTCTAGTTCTTCTGTTTTCTTTCTTTTTTTTAATTCTTTTTGGTACGCTCTTTTCTTGAAGGTCCCTAAGTCGAATTGGTTCAGAAATACTTCAGTGGGCAGCTGATTCCACAAAGTGGTGGTGCGCGGCAAAAACTGCCTTGAAAAACGCTCAGTTGTGGAACGGCGGACGTCAAGGTGATACGGGTGGAATTTCGTATTCTGCCTTAACGTCCGATGATGAAACTCAGCTGCAGGTACATATTAATCCGAACAACTCTTCTGAACACTCTCCATGGTAAATGCAGTAGAAGATGCAGAGTGACACCTCTACTTTTACTTAAAATTTTCTCATCTGTGAATCAATCTACTAACATCCCTCCTTAAAAACTTATTTATTCTGTATTTGTGAGGTGTCAGTTGTTTCTGGAAACATTTTTATCTTAACACAACTCTAATTGTGAATATGAATAAAAATAAACATACTAAAAAGTGTATTTTGGCACGTGTCCGCTCGTCAATTGAAGTTAATTAGGAAATAGCGCGATGAACGGTCATCTTGGATGTGGGCAGCTGTAGTTAAACTTTACATTGTTCTAAACGAATTACAGCTTTTATATAAGTGTCGGTCTTGTAAAAAACACAAAAAACTACGCAAGCCGAGTGTGTAATAAATTATATTACTTAGTATTTATTGATATTTGTAATTATAATTTTATTAACTATTTTTTTAATTAATTGTAACTAATATCCCTCACGTTGGAATTATAGTTGTACTTATGGAACGTTAAAAACACTACATTTCTGTATGTTACGTAATCATTTGTTTTTTTTACCAGCCTTCTGTGCCTGACACACAAAGTTGACTTCTGGTTCTATGGCCGGTCTATGCCGTTTTCCTCATGATGTTTTCCTTCACCGTATGAGCGAGTGTTAAATGAGATAATAAAGTCCAGTGACATTATCAGTAAACCTCACAAAATAATATAAATTAGATAACCTAACAACATTTCATAGGGACATATATTAAAAATAATGTTTCAAATAAATACATTGACTCGCATAAAAACACAATGTATCTCAAAAGTAATATATATTATAATAAATTAGATTGTTTAGTGTGATCCTATTTTTATTCTGCTTAACCAAAATATATGTTAGATGTTAGCTTGTAACATTTGCCGTAGATATAGTATTATGTATTATGTATATGACGTCAACTTTAATAAATAAATGCAGAATCTTAACTTAAGAGGAATTATAAAATATTTTCTTTTTTTCTTTAAACATTAAATCGTAATTGTATTCTGCTAGAGTTTTGATGATTATTGATCAGTCAGTCGATTTAATTCTAACTACTGGTTCAACTTGAATGAAATTTGAAATATACCGTGTCTTTACAACGCCCGATTGGTAACTGAATCTAGTTTTATCTATAATTAATTTAAAGGAGCGTCGAGAATGGCCTCAACTGTCTCAAGGAAAGGATGGTAGGTGCTGCTATTTGCTCGACATGGCGTACTGCTCGTATGTTCGAGGCAGGTTTGGATTTACCAGCTGGTTGAGTAGGCTGGAGAGGGTGGCAGATTTTTGGGGCGTAAAAATTGGGAACCGAGTTTTATTTTGCTACCTAGAAACAAAACGATTATTGCATGACGGTTTTCTAATGTTTAGATAGAAGACTTTCCCTATCACTTGCCATTGTACATTCGGTGTAGCAAACTTCCGTATTCTAGAATAATTAACTAGCCCCTAAACCAGGAACCGACCTCTGCTCACAGCCCACACTTTGAAGTGAAATGAGGAAAATTTTCAGACACTTATCAGTCCTACTGGTTGGAGTTTTGCGAAACGGACGAAACCCAACAATTTTACGTGAAATTTAAATGAAATTGTTTGAAAAACGAGCCTCTGTAACGCGGCTTTGTAGGAACTACTCGAGGTGGTTTTAGTGGGTACTGCTTACCCAGTCTCTGATTAGCAGAGATTCTAGTGTGAGCCCCACATACCCTGGCAACTTTCGGGGGTAAACGCGCAAATGCATCTCCACCTCAGATATTGAAAAAAGACGACAATTGTAGAGGCAAGGGCGGCCTATACCTTGACTGGTTCGAGGGCATAGTTTTGAATACCAATCTTATTCGTTTACAAAGCTGCATGACAATGGTATTCTGAGTCATGTGACGTGAAGGAGCTTCACATAAAATCTCTCTAGCATCGAATCCGCCCGCTCAATTGAAACCAATTGCCTTAATTGATTTCAATTGAAATGACCTCGTGCACCGGCTCCCACTGGCTTGACACTTTTACATCTATCTTTTTTTGGACAAAACTTTGAACGTCATCGTTAAATGATAGTGATAAATTGTTATGAAATAGTCATTTTTTTCATATTATTTACGAGTAACAACGAAATACCAAGTGATTCCAACTCCTATTGAATGTTCCCCCCTCTAAAACCCCTAAATGTTGTACACTCGGTTCGAGAGGTAATTAAAATATGCATCAAAAATACATTCAAGCAGTATACAATTTCGATCTTGTTTGTTTTTTGATATCAGTGATACTAGTTGGGCTTAATATAAATTGTATAGAATCGTGAGGTTTTTAATAAAAAATATTTCATGTTTAAAACCCTAAATGTACCTGAAAACACCTGAAGACATCTTTATTCGCTCTGAATTTGGGGGAAAATCCCCAAGTTGGAATCACTGCGCACCATCTAAGTACATGTTTCTTATATACAAGTCTAAGAAAAAAAAGAAACAAATTGAAGATCAGAATGTTGTATCTGTGATCATTTGTTTTATTAATAGAAGGCGACACACGCCGCAGTCGGTCTGAAGTCTAAATTATAGTTTTATTAACGAACTTTTTGTGTAAGTAAGTAAGTACACAGATACGATAGGGCAAAACTTGGACTATTCCTTAAGTTTATATACAACTAGCTGACCCGGCAAACGTTGTTTTGCCATGTATATTATTTTTAGGAAAAATTTTTTAGTTCAATAAAAATAACTATCTACAATAATAAAAAATAGGGGTTGATCGTAGATGGGTGAAATTTAAGGGTTGCATGTATTTTTGTATGTTGTAACACAAAAAAATAAAAACAAAAAGTTTTGTCTAAAAAATAAAAATTTAGGAGTGGGACCGCCCTTAACATTTAGGGGGATGAAAAATAAATGTTGTCCGAATCTCAGACTTACTGAATATGCATAAAAAATTTCATAACAATCGGTCGAGCAGTTTCGAGGAGTATGGGAACGAACATTCTGACACGAGAATTTTATATATTAGATTTCCCGTTATAATAATGATAAATTTTATTCGTTTTGACAACAAAATTCCAAGCAAAATTAGAGAATTATCGCTGAATAAATTGAAAACACTCGTTAAACGTAAATTAATCAATAAAGCTTTTTATAAATTTGACGATTATTTAAATGATCCTAATCCTTGGGATTGATTTGCTCCAGTTCAAACAATTTGTATGATTCAAAACTTGGCGATTAAAAGGAGTGGTGAAGAGTTTCTTGCCAGTTCTTCTTGCCCGCTCTACGCCTTTGACTTGAGAACTTAATGCGTTAATGTTTATTTAGAATCAAATTAACATCTTTTCTGTTGACGTTCATAAGTGTTACCTATATGAATAAAGTTAGTTTGAGATTAAATTAAAATATTACCATATAGAGATAATCACAATATTCTTAACCTACATAGTAATAATAATTATTAAACTACATTACTTCTATAAGTAGAAAATTAAAACAAATTTAAAAAGTTTGGTCTCCATGGCAGTGATTTAATGCTGGCTTTTCCTCGCTGTATTGCGATACTTATTCGTTAAAAGCATCAGCTCTGGGGTCACCTATACTACCAGGCGCCAACTTAAATATTTAATTAGTTGTGGACTTGCACCCCTCGGCCCAAGAGCCTCTACTCCAAAAGGAACAAAATCAAAGTTGGAGGAAACTCTTCTTTCTCTTCGTTACTACTAGAACAGGGGGCAAACGGGCAGGAGGCTCACCTGATGTTAAGTGATACCGCCCATGGACACTCAACGCCAGAGGGCTCGCAAGTGAAGGGCCTTTGAAGCTGGTGAAATTAAAGACAATCCTCACAACGAATTTATTAAATTCAATTACAATTATAAATATGGGAAGTTCTTTGTTAAATCTAATACAGTAGTATAATCACTACAAAGCGCCGCTGATGGGACAATCTCTGGAGTTAAAATATTGATATAGGAAAGTTTATGGACAGAGCAAAGTCGAGTTGGTTTTTGTATGTACGTCTATTTATTGTTATATCGTGTTGCTTTGTAGTCCAAATAAAACTAAAATCATCGTAATGCAAGTTGGGATTTCTTTTGTTTCTTCTTTCCTGATCGCCAAAAACCCTTAAATTCTTTACTCGTGCTCGGTTTTTCATCTTCTATTGTATGTTCAGAGCTTTCTTGACTATCGTTCCTTGGTATTGTGACAATGTCTTCATCAAATCTCAAATGCTTATCTTTGGTTTCGGTAGATATTTTATGGGCTTCAACAGGTTTTTCGTATACGGTATTATTTATTTCCGTTTCTGTTTTATTACTTGAATCGGAGTCTGAAATTTTTAGATTTCTTATGAGCTGAAGGAGGTTCAGTTCGCTGTTCCTTCTTGGTTCGTGCGTCGTTTTTATTGGATCATTGCGCATTTCCGAGGTGGTCTTCTTTTGTTTCTCTGACGTTTCCTCATTTGAAATTTCGAAACTTGCGCTCGTCTTTTGTTTCACTGATGTTTCTCTTTTCGAGATTTCCAACCGTTCAGTCTGGCCCGGTACGCCAGCGTCCTTTATCACCAGGGAGATATTACGCAGCTCTAACCAGGTGAACAATAACCTTTTCTCGACATGTGATAACTGTTCAATCTCTGCAAATGCTTCATCGGAAAAATTGTCCGCTTTTTTCTTGCGTAAACATCCGCAGAGGAATGCTGCAATTCTTCGGCATAGAGATGTATCATTTTCTCAGTCACTACTATCATCAAAAATATTGGCTGATAGAACAGTTTGGAGTAATCATCCGCTAGTCATTCGAGACCTCAAGGATCAGTCCAAATAAAGGCTGTAATCATATGTTTCAAAATAGTTTAATGAGCTGTGTTGGCTTAGTGCACTGCGTGCGACCCTCGTCCCTAAGGGGGGCACCTGCTGTGCACCTATGGTATCTCTGTCTATGTAATTAACACTCTCGTCTGGTGAGGAAACCATGGAATGGCTTAGACCAAGAAGTCGACGGCGTGTGTCAGAAGGCAGAAGGTTAGACAAACAAATGATCACGAAAAAAGCGATTAAAAAGAGTGGCGGAGAGTTTATTGCCAGTTCCTCTCTTCCTTTCTACGCCTTGATAAAATAAATAAAAATCTCTGGTTTCTTGAGAACTGGCAGTAAATGTAACATTAGAAGCATTTTCATTCATTTACCTATGAATAAAAGATTTTGACTTTTGAAACAAACCCCAGACCTTAGTTCCGTAGATAAACGGGATTTGAGAAAAGGTTGATCACCTATTCGTTTGTCACACGTAAATACAATTTCACAAAGCGGAAATAGATAGATCGCAGTAAGGAGGCTGGCCTACAAAAATAATCATTATCTAAGCTAAATGAAATGTAAGTATTTACGAACCGTACTACTTCTTAAATGCCTTCTGGCAATGTGAGTGTCTACGGGCGCGGGATCACTTAACATCAGGTGAGTTTCCTGCCTGTTTGCCTCGTAATACATAAAAAAAACATATTTGGCTATATATGTAGTATAATTGTAATATAATAATTACAATAATATTGATGTGAAACATCTATAGCCGCACGTGAAACCGATTTCTGGCGTGGCGACTCATGCCGTGGCGACGCATCGCCACGCTAGATGATGGTATATATATACAGCCTATATGCAGTAGTGTGTACGGTGTGTGTATTTCGAAGTCACTGATTAAACGAATTAAGAAGTCACGATTCAAAATAAATTTGTAAATTTTTTTATTTAATCTGGAAAAAAATCGTTATATTTTATTTTATCATTATGAAATATTTAGTTCCTATCACAATCTGTTCTTTTCTGCGTATTACTTTTACGAAATAATGTCGATGTTTCACATCTGCCAGGCGTCCCGTGATGGCTCACATTTTTTTTATCTACAACCAGGACCGTCTAATGAACCAACTTGTAAATATTGGTATAGATCAGATCTTTAGTTCAAATCCGGGAAATGTCTAGGTACTCCCCAAGCCCGCTTGTACATACAAGGGCAAGAAGCATTAATAGCCCACGGTTCCACATACAATCAAGCCATGGCGTACAGCCAAAGCTCATTAAAAACATTTAGTACTCCAACCAACTAAACCAACACAATTTTTATGTTTCTGTTTCATGATCCTTTTTTTTCTAAAAGGTGAGTTGGTGATCAGCCTTCTGTACCTGACATACGCCGTATACTTTTGTAAGACATGCCGTTTTCCTATCGGTGTTTCCTTCACCGTTCGAACGAGTGTTAAAGCATAGACAGAAAGTCCCTTTGTGCACAGTTAATCGAACCTACGACCTCAGGCATGAGAGTTGCACGCTGAAGCCACTAGGCCAACACTGCTCATTCATTTATTTATGTATAGTAATATTAATAGTACCAGGAATATAGAAAATTCCGTCACAAAAAAAGTTAAAAATTACTAATATGTGCCACCGAAATGGTCCATTAAACTATAATTCTTTTTATTTTTTTTTAAAGACAATTCACACCAATTGAACTAATCCCATGCTAAGCTGGTGAAGCTTGTGTTATGGGTACTAGGAAACGGATATACATACATATTATAGATAGATAGACATATAAATGCATATTTAAACACCCAAGAGCTAAGCACAACACCAAATGCTCATCACATCGATGTTTGTCTCAGCCGGGGATCGAACCCGAAATCCATGGATTCGCAGTCAGGGGTACTAACCACTAGACCAATGAGTCGTCATAATTTAAGCTATTCTTTAACGTATAAGATGAAAACGTCTCAGTGGAGAAGGAGGAAATAGTTGCTAAATGAAGGTCGCGCTCTGAAGCCACTAGGCTCTCAACCAACTTTACTTGATCATAAAAAGTTTCGGAGTAAAATTACATGTTTTCAGATGCGTCGGCGTAGATGAAGAATGCCTGTGACACCCTGGGCACGCATCGCTTCAGCCAGTAGTGGACCGTATAAAGAAGTGTCAAAATGACAGCCACGAATGTGCAAGCAGCCAGGCAGACGTTATGTTGAAGCCCGTGGGACCAGCCACATCGGAGACGGTCCTCATCATATATATCTAGAAAAAAATGTCGCAAAGACTACATGACCGTATAAAAAATAAAGAGCTAATCTGTTTGAATATGGCTGTAAAAAGCTTTGAATAAAATTTATTGATTGAGTATTGTTTTTTAAGAAATCCGATAAAATTATTGATTTTAAAAGTCAGTCACGTGGCACAAAACGATCACAGATTACTCGAATCGATAAAGTAGCGTATAAATAATGTCTGAATGGCAATTAACGCACTAAGTATTTGACATTTGTCATCGGGACTGGCGCGACGCCATCTTGGATAGAAAAGAGTTTGGGCGATTTAGAATACTTATGCAATTTAATTTTTGAAATGCTTAACAGAATTAAATAAATAAAAATGTGTGCGTGTACTAGGTGTACACACGTAAGAAGTGAAACTTCTTTATGACCTTATTAGAAACTATTTCTTCAAACACAGTAAATTTTGATACACTGCCTAGCATACAATTTACAAATTAATCGCTGCAAATTGCGATTAGCAAATTTCAAGTCGAAAATGTAATCCGTTGTCAAATTTCAAAGTCAAAAACATACTATATGTCATATTTTAACGCCGATAAAGAATTTTGACTTCAAAAAGCAACATGGCGCGTAACGAAAAAATGTGACGCGTAACGCAAAAATGTTACACTAAATTTTTTTCCAACCCCGATAAAGAAGTTTCACTTCAAAAAATTATAATAATATAATGTCAAATAGCCCATTATTTAAGCTGCGGTATTCTGTAATCGTTCACGTTTTTGTATGCAGCGATGTAGTCCTCTCAATATCCGTAGCGCTAATATCATGTAATCACGTGATATGAAAACTTTAAAACGGGTATTTACATAGTGCCAGAACTGAATTGATTACTAAAATACACCACTGCATAGATTGACAGACGTTTTCAATTGTCGATTGAGTGAACTGACAAAAGGTCTGCTCCATGTCAGTTTCTATACTTTTAAAAATTGCCTTTTTAAAAAAAAAACTGTTATATGTTGTACTGTTTTGAAGTGAAAAGTGGTAAATTTTTACGGAAACGTCACGAAGATGTGTAGCGTTTTTGTGGAAGAAAAGGGAGAGAGCGATTAAGACCGATTGAGATTTAAAATTAAAATTTCGTAGATTATTTTTCCGACCCAAATATCGACCAATAGAATTGCACCATTCGACGTCACGTGGTACAACCTACATGGTATTATACTGATAATTTTTTGAAAATTTTCTCTGGTAGTTGCTTCAAGAAAAGTATTAAGTAGTTGTTTTATTCATTATGAAATTCTTATTTGTTAACTGTACATTTCGTCTCATGGTGCAATTCTATTGGCCGACATTTGGGTCGGAAAAATAATCCCCCGAATACCACACGAGCTTCAAAATTATCTGGCATTTCCCGATAATTTTGAAGCTCTTGTGGTATTATAAGTGATTATTTTTCCGACCCAAATATCGACCAATAGAATTGCACCATTCGACGTCACGTGGTACAACCTACATGGTATTATACTGATAATTTTTTGAAAATTTTCTCTGGTAGTTGCTATATAAAAAACCAAAACATGATCCAGTCAAATTAACCACACGTCAAACTGACAGGTTGAATTCAATTGTGAAAATTGGAGATTTTGCATGAAAATGAGTCGATTTGGAGTTTGTTCTCTGTCCACCATCGATAAAAAAGTCATAGGAAATGTTCCCATTAATACGGAGAAGTCAAAAAAAACAGTTTGGAACCAATTTACTACTTTTTGTACTGAGAGGGAATACACATTGAGTGCTGAAACGAGTGAAGCGCAATTGGCAAACATTATGAAAGATTACGCTTACAATATGAAGAAAATGGATGGAGAAGACTATAAGGAAGGTACAATAAAAATTGAAATTGATATTATAAATATGAAATTCTTATTTGTTAACTGTACATTTCGTCTCATGGTGCAATTCTATTGGCCGACATTTGGGACGGAAAAATAATCCCCCGAATACCACACGAGCTTCAAAATTATCTGGCATTTCCCGATAATTTTGAAGCTCTTGTGGTATTATAAGTGAGAATTTATGAATATTAGTATGTATTTTATGCAAAATAATTTATTATAATCTCAAATGACGAATTGTTAATTAAAATGCCACGTGTTTTTATTATCGAAAAATAAATTAAATAAATTAAATTTATAATCTGTATTAATTTTCGACACTTTAACTATTTAAATTCGTTAAATTCCTAACATATCTCATTTTTCCCTCCCTCTAAGTCTAGTTAAAGTTTTAGATTTGTACTAGCTGATCCGGCAAACGTCATTTTGCCATGTATATCATTTATAATAAAAAATAGGGGTTGATCGTAGAGGGGTGAAAGTTAGGGGTTGTATGTATTTTTTTATGCTGTATCATAAAAAAATAAAAAATAAGTAATTTATCTAAATTTAAAAAAATAATAATTTAGGGGTATGGACTATCCTTAACATTTAGGGGGATGAAAAATAGATGCTGTCCGATTCTCAGACATACACAATAAGCACACAAAATTTCATGAGAATCGGTCAAGCCGTTTCGGAGGAGTATGGCAACGAAAACTGTGACACGAGAATTTTATATATTAGATAAATATGAACAAGACTTAAAAATTCGTTTTCCAAAGAAGTTTCACTTCTGACATGTGTACTTTGTACGCACGCACTTTATTATTTTTCTATTTATGTAATGTAAATGTAATTTAATACTTTTTTTTTCTTTTCTCACAGTGGTTGCCTGGAAGAGATCGCTCGAAAGCGATAAGGCCGCCAGTTGCTCACCTTTTTATTTAATTATGTCAATTGTATTTTATATAATACATTACTATTATTTGCGTAAGAACTATTTGAGACTGAAGTCGACGCATTTTAAACTGAGTCTTCGGGCAATAAATGTCACTGACAGTAGGAATGTGCAATGCAACCCGTTATCGATACTTAGCTATGTATGTATGCTTGTAATGGTTGCAGCTCCTTACAAACGTTGTGTCAAACAAAAAACTTGGCGATTAAAAAGAGTGGCGGAGAGTTAATTGCCAGTTCTTCTATTCCGTTCTACGCCCTTGATTTGAGAACTGGCAGTAAATGTAAAATTAGAAGCGTTTAATGTATATTTGAAGTGAAACTTCTTTATCGAGGTTGGAAAAAAATTTAGTGTAACATTTTTTCGTTACGCGTCACATTTTTCGGTTACGCGCCATGTTGCTTTTTGAAGTCAAACTTCTTTATCGGCGTTGGAATGAAACTTCTTTATCGACGTATGGGAGAAATTTTGTAGCAAATCGTCACGTTTTTCAATGATAGTAATAATTCTATTACAATTAATGAAATTCTATAATAATCTTCGTAGTAATAAGGTAAAATGAAATATTTGTATTCATGTCTATGATAATAAAAGCCTTGTGTTAAAATTTATCTAATTTAACGAATTTCTGTAAAGTTGCATATAGTAGATCATTTTTCGAAAAATAAGATCATAAAGAAGTTTCACTTCTTACGTGTGTACACCTAGTACACGCACAATTTATTATTCTTTATTGACGTTCATTAGTGTATATTGTGTTACTTAAATAAATAAATGATTTTGAATTTAAACTCCTGATTGGTCGTTACGAGTAAGGGTTGTTGTTTTTCTATAAATATAACATTTTTTGTTATGAGATTACTTACACTTCTTTATACAACAATTGATAATTTATTTTCTAACGTGGTTTTGAAGAAATTAAATGCTGACATCAACGCAAAAGCTCAGACTGTAATTCAAATGTTCCTGTTTTTAAAAGATTTGAAAACAGACCCGAGAAAAAAGCTTGTCTCAATTTAAAAAAAAAAGGGTGCGTGTATTTATGTACGCGCGTAAGAAGTTATACTTCTTTGGCATTATTATAAATAGTTTTTGATTGCATGCAAATAATTAATTACAATTAAATAATCAAAGACTGGAAAAGGAGTCATTATCAATAAAGTTCAGTTTACATTTGAAAAATTAAATAAATAAATATTATTATTATTATCTTCTTACATTAAGTGTAGCATAAATTCTATTATTATTCGAATGTTGTTTTTAAACTATGTCCAATGCCGTAGCATCTTCCGTGGGCAACTTCATTCTGTTAATTTTGTGTCACGGTGCGCGCGCATCGTAAAATTTCACTCTCATCAATTTTTCATAACGCGCCTAACGAAGTTTAACTCCAAAAAAAATCCTATTAATTCTTAACATAATTTAGCATATCGATCGTACGTATCCCGTTATCGATAAGCATCTCTACAGTTCTTACGCACATCACTACACCACTACATAAGACCTGTAAGTGCGAGCGAGACAGACAGATAAATATGATTTATGACCGCAGTTCATAATGCGTCGACTATAGCTACCCCCGCAAACTTCGTTTCGCCTTACTATGTTAGCCTACCTTTTTAGTAGCTACATACCAACATATGGAACATTTAGCTATGCTACCTTATAAAGACTGTTCGCTTTTCCAAACAAAATTTTCCAATTATTCTCTCTAAAACCTTCCTTCGAGATCAATTAATAAATTACTTGTATTAGTCTAGCCATTTTCAAGTTTTGTGCTTAGCAACATATTTTTATTTATATACGTAGTCGGTCCCAAAGTTCTGTCATAAATGGAAATAATGATAAAAACAAAACTACTTATCAGTTTTAATGAGTGATATACCAATTTATAGTACATTAATTAAGGAATAGAAATAGCATAAAATTATTCGAAATAACCTCCCTTATTTTTAATATTGGCCCTTAAGCGCCGCGGGCAGTCGTCTATCCAGCACGCACCATATTCGTGTCGATTTCAGTGACTGCTTTATTTAAAGATGACTTCAGACTCTCCAAATTTTTATTGGTATGCACAGACCTTCCTCTCTAAGACCTGCGAAATTTTATAGTCCAAAGGTTAAGGTCCGGACTGGAGGAAGGCCAATCCTCATGTCTAATTAAGTCGATGTTTTGACGCTCAAACCAGGCTTGAGTGGTCTTGGCTGTGTGGGAAGGCGCAGAGTCCTGCTGGAAACAAGTGATGTCCCCAAAGCGTCTGGGCAGTTCTTTGACAAGCGATGCAAAACCGTATCTTGGTCACTTTTGCACTGTTTGACCCCCTTTATGCAAAAATGAACTTCTGTTGGCTCGTAATAGGACACTCCCAACAACTTACTATGATGGATATGTCCATTTGCACCCTTGGAACTTTATTTCCAGCTTCTTTAGAACTTCTGGCGTACACTCTATCATTCTGTTTAGTGTACTTCTCTTCAATATCGAAATATTTTTCATCCGTAAAGAAGATATCACGGTGTCGGATTTTCGCGTACTTTAACAACACCCGCGATCTCTTAAGCCTTATTGCTTTTAGACGAGCATTAAGTAAGTGCCCACTCTTTTTTGTATGCTCGTAGACCAAGATCTTCATTTAAAACCTTTTTTACTATTTTCCTATTGACACCATTGCAAAGCCAACAAATTCTGTTTCCGGACAGGATTTCATGCTGTCCCGCCATGATACTTTGATTACTGCTGGTGTTCTTGCAGGAGCGCGGCCAGCCAGTTATTTTATTGTCCTCAACATGGAGACTTCATTGTACCTGTCAATAGTACGGTCACAAACCTAACGTTATTTCAAATTTTTGAGCCCCTTGAAAATGGTACTCGGCAGTGCCCACAGCGGTGCAACCATTAACACCAATTCGGTTTTCTTTCAATGTCCACTCCATCGTGAAAAATTACGGAAAGTGATTGTTTTTTGTTTTAAAATAATAGTCAAACATTCAAAAAATATAAATTATATTTATTTTATAAAACATGTTCGAAATTTAAAAATAATGTGACAGTGACAGAACTTTGGGACCATACGTAGTATTGCGACGAATTTTGTTAGTATTAATTAAATGCTTTACTATTAATTAAACATACTTTCATTTACACACACAGAAAAAAATGAGTGGCGCTACAACCTTTTAGGTCTGGGCCTCAGATTTCTGTATCTGTTTCATGATCATCAGTCTAATAGGCAAGTAGGTGATCAGCCTCCTGTACCTGACACACGCCATCGACTTTTTGGGTCCAATGCAGGTTTCCTCACGATGTTTTACTTCATCGTTCGAGCAGAAATCCATTGGTGCACAGCCGGGGATCGAACCCCTGAGGTGGTACCTCAGGGATGAGAGTCAACCCTTCAGGCCAACACCGAGATTAAATTTAAAAAAAATGCAACTAGGGTTTTCGTACATGTCTGGTCGAGGATCCTCCCTATTGATTAGAGCATATAGCCCCAGTACCATGGGCGGATCGTGAATTTGTGGGGTTCTGGGCTATTACGGAGAAGTACCCGGTAATTGACGCACACGCGACAAAATACACCGACCAAAAACAAGCGACGGGGAATTCCCCGTTCCGTTCGATAGATAGATGATTGGTTTTTTTAAATTCAAATATCACCCATTATTTTCAGTGGGGACTTAGGGCCCTTTATATCCTTGGGGATCCTGGGCTGCTGTCCAAAAGCCCTAAAGTAGATCCGCCCCTGCCCAGTACACCATGCACTGCACAATTCTTGATGCATAATCGGTGAAGAGGTAATTTCTTATCGTGCTATTGACAGCATCCGTAGCATCGCTCATCATACAGAAAACAATAATATACCGTTCTCAGGAATAACACACATGAAAACCATACAAAAATCCGTCCAGTAGTTTTTGATTAATTCGCGTTCATACAGACAGGAACACTATGCCAGGAAGTGGAAGTGATAATCCTTTTCTGACTTATACTTGAGGAGTCCAGGTTCGAATTCCAACAAAATTCCATTCCATGAAAAGACATAATGATTTTGGATAAAATTCCTGATTTAGCAAAAAAAAACTCACCGTAAGCCCCACAATTAGGTACTCCATCGCACGCGTTGGTTGAGTCTATACACACCCTTGTACCAGCCACTTGACACTCCAGATGGGCTGGTGGGCAACGGCCTACACTGTTTAGCAGTGAACGAGCTGGTGTCACCACCAGGGTCATCCTTTCCAGCTGTAACACTGTTGTCTCAGACAGTGATACATCTCATTATAGAATGTCCTGTATTCGAAGCCACCAGGTGCGACTTCGAGCAACAAATCGATATAAAGGTAACAACCGAGCACGATATATTACGAAACTTCAGATCGCAACTAGAAGATTTCTGCAGTAAGGTAGTGAGATGTGTCACTCACTGCAACAAGAGCGTAGCAGAGGTGAGACGGGCCTTTTTTTTTATAGAACGGGGGGCAAACGGGCAGGAGGCTCACCTGATGTTAAGTGATACCGCCACCCATGGACACTCTCAATGCCAGAGGGCTCGCGAGTGCGTTGCCGGCCTTTTAAGAACTGGTATGCTCTTTTCTTGAAGGACCCTAAGTTGAATTGGTTCGGGAATACTTCAATGGGCAGCTGGTTCCACATAGTGGTGGTGCGCGGCAAAAAATGCCTTGATAAACGCTCAGTTGTGGAACGGCGGATGTCGAGGTGATACGGGTGGAATATCGTATTCTGCCTCGACGTCCGATGATGAAACTCAGCTGCAGGTATTAATCCGAACAACTCCTCTGAACACTCTTCATGGTAAATGCGGTAGAAGATGCAGAGTGACCCTAATCTTTACGCAACGCCAAAGGATCAAGCCGCTCGGAGAGGGATTGGTCGTCGACGATTCGAACCGCTCTGCGTTGTACACGGTCAAGTGGAAGGAGCTGGTACTGGGGAGCCCCCGCCCAGAGGTAAGAGCAGTACTCCATGTGGGGCCGAATTTGCGCTTTATATAGTTGCATGCGGTGGCCCGGAGTGAAGTACCGTCTCGCCTTGCTGAGCACACCAAGCTTTTTGGAGGCTAATTTAGCCTTTCCCTCCAAGTGACCGCGAAACTGAACGTCGCTCGATATGTCAACGCCAAGTATTCCAATGCAGGCTGTGGCTTTAAGAAGAGTGTTTTCGAAAAGAGGAGTAGCGACAAAGGGTTTTTTTTTAGCGGAAAACGCGCAAACTTGTGTCTTCTTGGGGTTAAATTGGACTAGGTTTTGTCTGCCCCAATCTGAGACTCCACGTAGTAGAGTTTCGACTTCAGACACAAGTTTGTTCCGGTACTCATCAACAACTGCCCGAGAAATACCTGCCCGGCCAGTGTAAAAGTATCCCCAGTGCTGTCATCCGCATAGCAATTAATGTTGCTAAGTTTCAACATATCATTGATATGCAGAAGAAATAGGGTCGGGGATAGAACACAGCCTTGTGGGACCCCAGCGTTTACGGGTTTTAGGTCGGAACATGCTCCGTCGATGATGACCTTGATGCTCCGATCGGCCAGAAAGCTGGAGATCCAATCGCGTAACTTCTCAGGAAGCCCATAGGCTGGAAGCTTCGAGAGCAGTGCTCTGTGCCACACCCGATCGAAGGCTTTCGCTATGTCCAAACTAACCGCTAGCGCCTCCCCCTTGGACTCGCCTCTGCCCATCTATGTGTAAGGTATACAAGAAGGTCACCAGCCGAACGACCACGACGAAAGCCGTACTGATAATCGCTAATCAGCTGGTGGCCCTCTAGATACCTCAAGAGCTGGCAATTAACAATGGATTCCATTATTTTAGAGAACAAGGAGGTTATAGCTATTGGGCGATAGTTGGACGGATCAGAGCGATCGCCTTTTTTAGGGATCGGATGTATCAAAGCGGTCTTCCAGCACTTCGGGACAGTGCCGAGCGAGTACAGGTACCGGAAAAGGCGCGTTAAGACCCGAGCCAACTCAGGAGCACAAGTACACACCACAATTGGGGGGATAACATCCGGCCCGCTCGACTTATGAATGTCCAAGGAAGATAGTGCTTTACGGACAGCACGTTGCCGGAATGTGATTTCCGGCATCGAAGAATCACACCGCGAAATGGTCGGTGGTGATCTGTCATCCAAAGTCGAGTTGGACGCGAAGAGACAGCCCAAAAGGTCAGCCTTCTCCTACGCAGTGTGGGCCAGAGAGTCATCCTCCCTGTGCAGTGGTGGAATGGCGGGCTGACAAATATTCCCTTGGAAAGCTTTAGCGAGAGACCAGAAGGCTCGAGTCCCTGAGGGGAGTTGGGCCAATATTTCGCCAAATTTGGCCATGTGCTCTGACTTTGCCTTAGTGATTTCCCGTTTGAAGGACCTGGAGGCTGAGTTATATGCTTTTTTAAGTTCGCTGGTATTGGCATCACGAGATTTCGTCGCTTCCGCCCATGCCTTAAAGCATTCTCGCTTTCGACGCGAGGCCGCCTTGCAAGAACGTTTAAACCAGGGCTGAGACTTGCCATCGATCGGCACCGCAGAAAATGGAATAAAGAGTTCCATGCCCTGCAGAACCACTTCGGCGACAGAGGCGGCGACGGAATCTGGAGCTTCCGGCGAAAAGCACATAGGCCCCCAAGGGTAGGACGCAAAGAAAGACCGCATCCCGTCCCAATCTGCTGACTTATAGTGCCAAATACGGCGACAACCCATAAAGCGGGGCCGTGAAGGGCGCGTAGAAGGCACAGTACTCTGGACCACACACTGATCCGATGAACCCAATGGCGGGTCAACAGAGACTTGATAGTTCTCCGGATGTGAAGTCAGCAGATGGTCCAACAAAGAGGGTTTATGACCATCCACATCTGGTATTCGCGTAATCGCAGGGACCATTTGTGTCAGGCCTCCACAGGCCTCCACTGGCCCATGAATATAAAATAGAAATATGTATTTTTATGTATGGATATATATATATATATATTAGGAAATTTCTTAATGTATGTATGTATGTATATGTTTGTACAAAATATATGTATAAAATAAGGTCCCGCACCACAAGAGTCTATAGAGGATATTGGGAAATTTATATAAAAAAAAGAAAGAGTGAAATAAGACTAATTTAATTTGGAATGAAAGAAAATATATTAGGCGTAAGTGGATCTCTTCCTTGCCCAATAGATTTTTGAAGTGAAACTTCTTTAGGCGCATGAGGGTAAAATTTTTACGGATGAAACGCAATAATATTAATACTAGCGTCACGAAGATGTGTAGCGTATTGGTCGAAGATTTAAAAAATTTTAAAATTAAAATTTCGTAAAGAGAATTGATGATATATTAGTATTTTATATTTTATTCAAAATAATTGATTGAAATCTGAAATGACGAACTGTAAATTAAAATGCCACGAGTTTTTATTATCGAAGAAAAAAAAATTATAATTTGTATTAATTTTCGACACTTAATATTTTAATGATAATTAAATTCATTAAATTCCTAACATATCTTCCCTTTTCCCTACCTCTAAGTCTCGGAAATGTAAAGTTTAAATACTTAAAAAATAGTTTGCCTAAGAAGTTTCACTTCTGACATGACGTACTTCATGTCAGAACATCTAAAATCAACAGCTTGGCTAATATTTTATAGATCAGTGGTCAGCCTTCTATGTCAGTTCAGATTGAAGTCCAAATTACGCACTGTGACTCCCATAGGTCAATTTTAATCATGACTCTGAAAGACTTGACTCTGAATTTCACACTAAATTACGATGTTTTTCAAATCTATTGCTGTATTTCGAACGGACGACCTAAGGTGAGAGTCTGGCGTAGCGACTAGCCCACCACTTTACCAGTGGCGCTACCTTTTAAGGCCTCAGATTTCTGTAGCTGTTTCATGATCATTTATCATGTCATGACATCAATCTACTAGGCAAAGAAGGTGAACAGCATCCTGTGCCTGATACACGCCGTCGCCGTCGGTATACTGCCAGCTTCCTCACGATGTTTTCCTTCACCGTTCGAGCGAATGTTATATGCGCACATAGTCCATTGGTGCACAGCCGGGAATCGAACCTAGGTCCCCAGGGATGTGAGTCACACGCTGAAGCCTACACTGGTCCTATTTATATATAAATGAACAATTGATAATACTGTGAAACACTTCACAGCAGTCCACAACCAATAAGTGTTGCCAATAGCTAAATTAAATGTCTAGTTCTCGTAAATCTTTAAGTGTTGCCACTTACCGTAAAATTGCTAATAGCAATGACGATCCTTGAAGCGTTAAACAAGTAAACTTGCCGTGTTTTCGGCTCCTGATAATCGCAAATATTAAATAACGCTGTGCCGACATATTTTCGTAAATATCGAAGGGACACACGGCCTTGGAGCTGTAAACACAAAAATAGTTTGTTCTTTTATATGGTAGATTATTTTAACGACCTCGTGTTTATTTAGTAGTTACGAATTTGTTTCTTATTTAAAATATTAAGTTGTCGTTTGTTTAATATTTAATTTGATATATAAACTAGCTGACCCGGCAAACGTTGTTTTGCCATGTATATTAGGAATAAAGTTCAATAAAAATAACTGTCTACAATAATAAAAAAAGCTGATCGTAGAGGGGTGAAAATTAGGGGTTGTATGTATTTTTGTATGCTGTATCATAAAAAAATAAAAACAAAAAAAATTGACCAAAAAATAGAAAAAAATATTTTAGGGTAGACACCCCTATCCTATTTGTTCCATGTTTTGTGTGCCACACTTTGTTCCATGTTTTTGGAGTCTCTTGGGCCGTGGGGTGTGCAAAGGCGCTAATTAAAGATTTAAGTTGGCGCCTGGTAGATAGTACCGGTGACACCAGAGCTGTTGCTTTCCTCGCTCAACGAATAAGTATCGCAATTAAGCGAGGAAAAGCTACCAGCGATAAAGGTACACTGCCACAGGGACCAAACTTAAATTGGTTTTAATTTTTATTTTTGTACTATTACTATGTAGGTTAAGAAAATTGTAAATACTGTATATTTCATGGTCTGATCAGACAGCGGACGGGGCGGGACGGCGACGCGACGCTAGCGGGGCGGCGACGCGTCGTGGATGTCACACTGCGGACGTGATAATCCTGCAAGCGTGGCGTCGGCCGACCCGCCACACTCGGCGTGATTCAGTGTTGCCAGATCAGAGGATTTCCCCCTAGATTTAGAGATTTCTCGGTTGAGAAATCCTCTGATATGGCGTTCCTGATTTTGGAACTAAATTAATTAGTACATTATAGGTCTACTAGAATCTGATGGCAAAAAAAAAATTTAAAAATTAGCGATTTGCATATGGCAATAAAAGAAAAAATTCATCTGTCAAGTGAAATTTCGAGGAATTGTTTTTGGTTTGGCTTCAAATTTCTTTTAAAAAGTGATGAAAATGTCGAAGAAACCTCTTCGACCGCAAGCAAGACATATTGTTTTCAATGTTTATCAAAGAATACTTGGTCAACAAGATGCAGATCATACACAATCATCGATATTGAGCCACGTGCAAGCGTTGACTGGTTAGTAGGAATGACACGTCTTGATACTTTGGTTTATGGGATTTTTCGTGTCTATTATATTATGTACTTATACTAAACTTAGGTTTATTTCAGGGGTTTCTTATACTACAAATAAACTTGGATAGTTTTGATTTAGAATTGATCAGAAACAAGATAAATGAGTTGTACACTGTTTCTTTCTCTCAAATAGGGATCGATGAATGGTGAAAATATTGTGAACATGTAATAAAAATTTAAAATCAATTCATAGAACAAGATCGGTTAATTGAGATGCAGGAGGAAAGGTTTATTATAAATACGGCGTTGAAGACTTTTTTATGGATGTGCAGTATTTGGAACCATTTTCAAGTTCTTAATTAATTAATAAACTCATGAACAGAGTAATTGGAGTTTTCATCTAAATTTCAAACCCACATTCGCCACATTTTCAAAAATTATCCTTGTTCATTGGATACATTTTTATATTTGCATGTATCAGCCGCTATAAGGAAAAAAAAGTATCAAAACGTTTTACTCCAATTTCCCCAGTATTGCTAGCGTCAATTTCTTTTTTCCCTTTTTGCCATCAGATCCTGGTAGACCTATACAACTGTTCCCGCCCCGCCCGCTGTTTGACCAAACCTTGATTGTTATATTTAGGCTTTGTATATTGTCTAAATGTTTTATTTTATGATATGTATGTATCTAGCTGTAAGGTTACTTTTAAATAAATAAAAAAAATGTGTGATAAAGAACTCCTCCAAGGAGAAGGGGAGGGTCGTAGACACGCCCTTGCTAATATCTCTTTTCGTATTATTTAATTTAACACTTCGTGAAGACTAGTTTCGTAAGCGGTCTGATCGCCTTAGAAAAACTTTTGGAACTTGGTACAATTTTGACATAAAAAAAATCAGTGGCGCTACAACCTCTTTAGGTCTTGGCCTCAGATTTCTGAATCTGTTTCATGATCATTTTTAAATCTAATAGGCAAGTAGGTAATCAGCCTGTGCTGATATGTCGACTTTTTGGGCCTAAGACATGTCGGTTTCCTCACGATGTTTTCTTTCCCCGTTCGAGAAAATGTTAAAATCGCACATAGAAAGAAAGTCCATTGGTGCACAGCCGGGGATCGAACCTACGACCTCAGGTATGAGAGTCGCACGCTAAAGCCACTAGGCCAACACTGCTGTCTTTTCTATTCTCTTTTCCATTTTTTGACATACTCTCTCATCTACTTCCCCAAAGTCCCAACTATAAAACTTTAAACACTAAATGATAATATAATATTAAATGAAATGGTAATTACTTCATCATCCTGAAGTTCCACCAACTGTGCCAGATCCTGCATGTCGGAATATTTGTAGATCTTTTCCGTTGTTTCTTTTCTTAATTTGTGTGTCGTGCTTCTCGGTCTTGCATTCTCAATATCCAATGATTTAATATAACGTTTAATTCTAAGAAAATCAGAAAAATATGGTGATGACAAGATCAAATGTTTAAGATACCAGTGGCACCCATGGTTTTGACAAGGTATCTGTTTCGTGATAATTAGCAATTCTAATAGGTAAGTAACAAAAGACTTAGGTTCCAAGAAAAGAGCGGAGTTTTCAAAGGCCGGCAACGCGTTTGCGAGCCTTCTGGCAATGTGAGTGTCCGTGGGCGGCGGTATCACTTAACATCAGGTGAGCCTCCTGCCCATTTGCCTCCATTACATAAAACAAACAAACACACATGATGGTTTCCTCGTGATATTCTACCTTATTTGGTATTCGTATATCCTTATACTCAGTAGTATTGTAATGAAATGAACCGTATGACCGAGTGTTAAATACACATAGAATTGGTGCGCCTGGGATCGAATCTACGACCTCATGGATGATCGAACGCTTTAACCAGCCAACACTGCTCTAAATCTTTTACTAACCGACAAATTTAAAGCAAAACAGATTGAATATACTTAAAAAATATTATATTATTATATTATACTAACCGTTTCCCGCGAATTAAAATAGGAAATAAATAAAATTTTATGTTTCATTATTATTATTTTTTCATATTTTTATTATTCTTCTTTTTTAACTTCCGCTAAGAAAATTGAAAATTTTCGATAATCGAGTTTTTAACAGGTGTTGACGTTTTGAGGTTCTAGGAAGCCTCTTTTGTTTTTACTAGCGGTATAAATTTTCATAAAAAGTAAAACAGCAATAAAAAAATGAAGGAACGTTGGAATTTAAAAAAATTAATAGCCATAAACCATCTAGGAAAAATTTCGCATCGAATGGCAGAAGTTTCATGTCGATACGATCAGTGGTTTAGGCGTGAAGGAGCCTCAAACGAAGACCATTTTTCTTTTATATATATAGATATGTATTCCATCTCTGGCTATATTTTCAGTGTAATTGTTTGTTATCTTAATATATATAAATTACGTGTCACGTTGTTTGTCCGCTATGGACTCCCTAAACTATCGAACCGATATCAATCAAATTTGCACACCTGTGTAGTTTGATCCAACTTAAAAGATAGGATAGCTTACATCTCAATTTATACCCGCAATATTATTTCATTGCAAAAATTTGTTTATTATTTGATAGTCACAATTCTAACAGATGGCGCTGTGTTGAAAGTACCAACGTTCGACATAAGCTACAATTTCATGGCATAACCACCAAAAAAGCATGGTGGTCCCCATGACTGGTGTTCTCCTACCGTTTCCCTTGAATAGTTTGCTACTATGTAATATAACAAAAACCTTAGCCACAGCAACGCTTGGCCGGTCTGCTAGTAATATATAATTTGTGTTAGCAGTAGGATTACGAAATAAATAAACAAAAACCCCTTTGTATGAGACATTTGCTGCTAATCTCAACCATTCGACACCTACATTCGTAACGTTTCTTGGAGCTTATAAACGATACTAAAATTACTAATTCACCTGGATTGAGTTTCATTAATTGTATTATTCAATAGCACAGCGATAATTGGCGCAGCTTGTACGACGTTTTCAAATGTTTTTCGATTTACCAAAGAACCGGTACCAGGATCACTAAAGATAAAATAATAATAACATTTATATATTTGCAAGTTGGTACAAAAATAGTATGGTGGTACATTCTGAAATTGCCCTTCTTTGTACCAGACTCGTAGTCTTGCTTTGTTTCATGTTCCTCACATCAACACTAACTATGCAAAAAACTCAGTTCTCTATTGCCCGGACATACAACCAATTAAGCCTTGATTTGTTTAAGGTATCGCGGAATATGGTTAAAAGGAGCATTAAGAATATCCATAGCGCAAAGTCACCTGCATCATGAACATACCCCCCCACATACACAGCTTCACATACCCTCACTTTTACACCATCACACAGCCTAATTATGTATTACTTAGATTTGGACGACTCATTGGTCTAGTGTTTAGTAGCCCTGACTGCGAATCCATGGGTCCCGGGTTCGATCCCCGGCTGAGACGAACATCGATGTGATGAGCATTTAGTGTTGTGCTTAGGTCTTGGGTGTTTAAATATGTATTTATATGTCTATCTATCTATCTATAATATGTATGTATATCCGTTGCCTAGTACCCATAACACAAGCTTCACTAGCTTAGCATGGGACTAGGTCAATTGGTGTGAATTGTCTTTAAAAAAAAAAAAAAAATGTATTGAATAATTTGTATCGCTTTTTTAAATGTACTTTTGTAAATGTTTCAACCTTTTTGTAAATATTATGTTTCCATCTCTGGCTATATTTTCAGCTTAATTGTTTGTTATTATATATGTTTTTTTGGCGTCGGGACGTGACGACCCCATCGCCCACTGGTGAAATAACCTGTGACAGAGGTTATTTCATCAGCGCAATCAGTCAACCCCTTCCTAGTGGGAGTGCCATGCTGTTGCCTTCGGGCTTCAGCCAAATGGGCAGGCACGACCGGGGCAGTACCACTGTCTCTCAGAAAACCGGCGTGAAGTGATGCAATAAGTTCACCTTATTGTACTCGCGTTTCGTGCGGTGAGAGAGACTCCCGGAGCCCACCCGGGCGCAAATGGTCCCTGCGATTACGCGAATACCAGATGTGGATGGTCATAAACCCTCTTTGTTGGACCTTCTGCTGACTTCACATCCGGAGAACTACCAAGTCTCTGTTGAACCGCCATTGGGTTCATCAGATCATTGTGTGGTCCGGAGCATTGTGCCGTTCACGCGCCCTCTTCGGCCTAGCTTCACGGGCTGTCGCCGCGTGTGGCACTATAAGTCAGCAGATTGGGATGGGATGCGGTTTTTTTGCGTCCTACCCTTGGGGGCCCATTTGCTTTTCGTCGAGTACTCCAGATGCCGTCGCTGACTCTGTCGCCGAGGTGGTCCTGCAGGGTATGGAACTCTTTATTCCATTCTCTGCGGTGCCGGTCGGTGGCAAGTCCCAGCCTTGGTTTAAACGTTCCTGCAAAGCGGCTTTGCGCCGTAAGCGTGAATGCTTTAAAGCCTGGGCAGAAGCGGTGACATCCTGTGATGTGACTATCGGCGAACGTAAAAAAGCATACAATTCAGCCTCCAGGTCCTTCAAGCGAGAAATCGCTAAAGCAAAGTCAGAGCACATTGCCAGATTTGGTGAGAAATTGGCCCACCTCCCTTCGGGAACTCGAGCCTTCTGGTCTCTTGCCAAAGCTGTCCAAGGGAATTTCTGTCAGCCCTCAATTCCACCACTGCATAGGGAGGATGACTCACTTGCCCATACCGCGAAAGAGAAGGCCGATCTTCTAGGCTGTCTCTTTGCGTCGAACTCCACTTTGGATGATCAAGGGAAGGAACCACCGACATTATTGCGGTGTGATACTACGATGCCCGAAGTTATATTCCGGCAACGTGCTATCCGTAAAGCTTTGTCTTCCTTGGACATCCATAAGTCGAGCGGGCCTGATGGCATCCCTCCAATTGTGCTGCGTACTTGTGCTCCTGAGTTGGCTCCGGTCCTAACGCGCCTTTTCCGGTACCTTTACACGCTCGGCACTGTTCCGAAGTGCTGGAAGATCGCTTCGATACATCCGATCCCTAAAAAAGGCGATCGCTCTGATCCGTCCAACTATCGCCCAATAGCTATAACCTCCTTGTTCTCCAAAATAATGGAAACCATTATTAACAGCCAGCTCTTGAGGTATCTAGAGGGCCACCAGCTGATTAGCGATTCTCAGTACGGCTTCCGTCGTGGTCGCTCGGCTGGTGACCTCCTTGTATACCTTACACATAGGTGGGCAGAGGCAATTGAGTCCAAGGGGGAGGCGCTGGCGGTAAGTTTGGACATAGCGAAAGCCTTCGATCGGGTGTGGCACAGAGCACTGCTCTCGAAGCTTCCAGCCTATGGGCTCCCTGAGAAATTATGCAACTGGATTTCCAGCTTTCTCGCTGATCGGAGCATCAAAGTCGTCATCGACGGAGCATGCTCCGACCTGAAACCTGTGAATGCTGGTGTCCCACAAGGCTGTGTCCTATCCCCGACCCTGTTTATTCTGCATATCAATGATATGTTGCAGCTTAGCAACATTCATTGCTATGCGGACGACAGCACTGGGGATACTTTTTACACTGGCCGGGCAGGTATCTCTCGGGCTGTTGTCGATGAGTACCGGAACAAACTTGTGTCTGAAGTCGAAACTCTTCTACGTGGAGTCTCGGACTGGGGTAGACTAAATCTAGTCCAATTTAACCCCAAGAAGACACAAGTATGCGCGTTTTCCGCTAAAAAAACTCCCTTTGTCGCTACTCCCCTCTTTGAAGACACTCTCCTTAAAGCCTCAGCTAGCATCGGAATACTGGGCGTTGACATATCGAATAACGTTCAGTTTCGCGGTCATCTGGAAGGAAAGGCTAAATTAGCCTCCAAAAAGCTTGGTGTGCTCAGCAAGGCGAGACGGTACTTCACTCCGGGCCACCGCTTGCAACTATATAAAGCGCAAATTCGGCCCCATATGGAGTACTGCTCTCACCTCTGGGCGGGAGCTCCCCAGTACCAGCTCCTTCCACTTGACCGTATTCAACGAAGAGCGGTTCGAATCGTCGACGACCAGTCACTTTCCGTGCGGCTTGATCCCTTGGCGTTGCGTAGAGATGTGGGATCTCTCTGCATCTTCTACCGCATTTACCATGGAGAGTGTTCAGAGGAGTTGTTCGGTCTAATACCTGCAGCTGAGTTTCATCATCGGACGTCAAGGCAAAATACAAAATACCATCCGTATCACCTCGACGTCCGTCGTTCCACAACAGAGCGTTTTCTAAGGCAGTTTTTGCCGCGCACCACCACTATGTGGAACCAGCTGCCCACAGAAGTATTTCCGAACCAATTCGACTTAGGGTCCTTCAAGAAAAGAGCGTACCAATTCCTGAAAGGCCGGCAACGCGCTTGCGAGCCTTCTGGCATTGTGAGTGTCCATGGGCGGCGGTATCACTTAACATCAGGTGAGCCTCCTGCCCGTTTGCCTCCTATTACATAAAAAAAAAAAAAAAAAAAATGTCACCGTAAAATTGTAAATACCGTTAGATTGTAATCTATCTCGCGAGATTGTAAACTGTCGAAAGATTGTGAACTCAACGTACTGCTTACAATTCAACGTATTATTATTCGGTAGATTGTAATCTATCGAAGTGAAACCGTCAAATTTTGAAACGGATCGCACCTCGCGCGCTGATTGGTTGAACGGAATATGCCCCGCGCCACCATATGTTTTTGTTAATTTGTTTGTTGTCGAATGTAAATTGATTGTTTTGATGAGTGTAAATTGATGTCGTGTTGAAAGTAACGCACAGCTTTAGAATTAGTTATATGAAGTTGTTGGGAAGTAAAATTAATCTGTGATTGACCTTAGAAGTTTGAATGATAACTAAGTACGTGTTGGTAATGAAATTAAAGAAAATTTCATTACTTTTTCAAGTTTAATTTATGTTTGAGGAGAAGATATTGTTACGTCTCTGATTTTTTTATTTTGATACAATTTTTTTTACCATGTGATGTCAGAATTATTGATTATCTACTAAGTAATGAATAAATACTTGATGTCACAATTCTTGAAGTGCATTCAGTTTATTTGACTGATACCCGTGTTTCATTCCTAACTCTATGGACATAGAACGGTCTACTATAAAGCCAACCAATCAGGGACAGCCTTCGGAAAGTTAACAATTTGAAAATTTTAAGATTGTAATTTGACGGTTTCACTCCGATAGATTACAATCTACCGAATAATAATACGTTAAATTGTAAGCAGTTCGATGAAGTTTACAATCTTTCGACAGTTTACAATTTCGCGAGATAGATTACAATCTAACGGTGTTTACAATTTTACGGTGACATATATAACTTTTGTTAGCTGTAGGATTACGAAATAAATAAACATATACACATAATGGTTTGTAAATTTGTCTTACATACAAGGTAGAACTCCAAATTAAATGTTTATAAAAAAAACTATTTTTATATATATAATTCTTCTGTGAGTGTGTATGTCACTGAACTTCTCTCAAACGACTGGACCGATTTTTATGAAATTTTTTGTGTGTGTTCAAGGGGATCTGGGAATGGTTTAGATTCACAAATCAGCCCGGCAGATGGCACTGCAGTCGGTACTTTCATACTTTGCTTAATATCCTAATCGCTTTAAATATCATGCAGGACAACGTCTGTGGGGTCCACTAGTTTTTATATATATGTAAGGAAAACATAATATATTTTCGTATACACACTCTTGTCTATATTGTATTTTATTTAAACTCTTTTGTAATGTTGTCTTTGCCGTCTGATCGACGATGTTTAATTTATGTCACTTGACATAATATAATATGTAAGATATTTTAATTTTTTCATTATATTATTTTACTTTATAAAACCTAGAATGTAGGCTTTAAATGTTGTTTCTTTTGTATTCACAGAGAAACGCAGTTGCGCCTTATTTATTTCCAGTATAAGCGATTGATACTATTATATATATTTCCAATTGTTCTCTATATTTTTTATCTACAATTTTTATTCATATAGATTTTTTATCTGAGCTGTCGGCTCTGTACGTCATGCTCACCTCAATTTTTTCATCATATCAAAAAAAGTACTCGACTAGAAGTCACTTACCTAACTGGTTTTGTAAAGAAAACTCTGACTTCATCATCAAAATCTGAAAAAAAAAACAATTATTACATTCTACTAATCTTGTCAGTCTTTATAGGAACTATAAAATATGAAAGGGAGGTGCTGCTCTTCCTCCGACCCAGAGAACCCTTGCCTATCCACTGCCTGGCACGAAGGTACACAGTGGCATTTTTTTATGGGATCTTGATGTTGGTCTAGGTCTTGACAGCTGATGCAGACAAGGCTACGCTGTTACCGTGTCCTGCCTCAGGCAATTGGTGACGCCGTGGGGTTTTAGTGGATATACACTGTAGCAAGTCCCACATAACCCTCCACCACAAGGCAGTCGTGTCGCGGGAGCGTTACGCATTTCCCCACGCAAAAAAAAATTCTCTGCCGGGAATGGGTTTCCCAAACAAGGGTGTCTTCTGCGAGATTCGGACCTCGGCTCCTTGTCTGAAGGGCAGGTTTTCATAGCAGTGCGCGTACGAGTGACAAAATTGCCACTTTATTTTTAAATGAAGGAAAATTTAAGAAATGGAACGATGAAAAAATAGAACTTCACAGAAGATGGGTAGAAATCTTTCGGCATTTTAGAGTAGAACATATCCCAGATGAAAAGTATAGGCACAAAAATTCAGGATTTGCATTTAATATGCAAATGAAAGTTGTTCGGACGTGGCTACATAATTAGACGAACATCCTCATTTAGGAAAAATATGTTTTTAAAAGCAAATAAAGTTTTTGTGTTTCACCTACTTGCAAAGTGTACTCTTTTTGAACAAAAAATTATTGGTGACCTTATTATTCATTAAGTGGAAAAGAGACCAGCACTCTATGACAAAAAACTGCTATATTTACTGCCAGTTCTCAAATTACGACGACAAAAAGGCAAGAAACTTATCACTATACATTTTTTTTAAATTAAACCTATTACCTGAGCTTTCTGTTCTTGATTCTATTGTTTGGCTTTTCTTTGCAAGCTGTGTGTCCATTTTATCAGTATGTGAATTTGTAGAACTTAAAAATGTAAACAATTCAGAAATACAATTGGTTATGGCTTATACGTCATTATATTAATATTTATCAAACATCTTGCTTAGCATTCGAGAGAAGAGATGACAAGATTCTTAATATTTGCTTGGTTTTCATTTAATAGACAATTTTTTTTTTTAACAATTCACACCAATTGACCTAGTCCCATGCTAAGCTGGTGAAGCTTGAGTTATGGGTACTAGGGAACGGATATATATATACATATTATAGATAGACATATAAATACATATTTAAACACCCAAGACCTAAGCACAACACCAAATGCTCATCACATCGATGTTCGTCTCAGCCGGGGATCGAACCCGGGACCCATGGATTCGCAGTCAGGGGTACTAACCAGTAGTCCAATGAGTCGTCGATTTATTAATCGTAGTCTAAAGTGATGAATATTATTCTTGAATAAATTACGTAATTTTAATTCCGGCAATGATGTTTATTAGCTTATATTTTCATTCTATAAAATAAAATATCTTTATTGTTATATTATAAAATTATATAATTTATGACTTTTGTCTACGGTAAATTGCTGTCTATTAAATGACAGGAAAATATGCAAATATTAAGAATCTTCGTGGAGATATTTATTTATTTATTTTATTTATTCACACTTCGTTGCAATAAAAATCAAAGAAACACAGATATTGTCTATGTATTAATGCTAAGCAGGGTTTTTGATGGGTTTTTTGGTTAATGACGTATTTATGATTTGTTCTATGAAATAGAGAAATAAAACACCCATATTATACAATTACGTAATTTAAGTATCAAATGATAACATTTAATGCGTTTGTCTTCGATTAATAAAATTTGTCTATTAAATGAAAGAAAACTATGCAAATATTAATGTATAATGCTATTATAACGATGTATTATGTGATATCAGAATTAGTTTATAAATTAAATTTTGATTTACTTTAAATTACTGAATCTCCATTAATAGTATACTTACATATAATTAATATTTTTAGTAGTTTGCGTGGCTTTTGTCGTATTAAAAGACGCCATTAGCCTATCAATATTATTCCATGAATTATTGTATATAATTGATAATACATCCTCAGGAACTGTTGGTAACGGTTTTGTATGAGAAAATGCGGAAAGTCTGAAAGGAGTATTTAATATGCATTGCATTATGTGTCTTAGCTTCATGGAGGGGAGAAGAGGGAACCCTAAAAAGGTGTTAATATAGAAGTATTAAGGAGCGAAGGATAAAGAAAGCCATGGTTTTTTTTATATAATAGGGGGGCAAACGAGCCTTACGGGGCGCCTAAAAGGGCAGTGATGGCCACCCATTTTAGTGGATGTGTTGCCGACCTTTGAGAGAGTAGTACACTCTACCTTTGAATAGTTGGAGGTCGTATCTCTCAAGGAAGACCCCAGCCGGGAGTCGTTTCCACAGTTCACTAGCAAAAGAAAATGCTTTGTGAAATGGACTCTGGAAGGCTTCCTGTTAATAACTGTTCCTTTTCCGCCTGCTCTGCGTCCGCCCCAGCTTTTTTGCTTATCCGAGGAGGGGTGAGATTTTAATATAAAACCTGAAACTTTTTACCTTTGACGTGAGAAAAGATGTTTTGTGCGAATTGATGCTGTATTCTTCCGCCTGAAATTCAATCTTCGTGTCGTTTTATACCTTTTTGTTTCCCTCCTCTTGTGTAATGTACTGAAGGTTATTCTAGAAAGGTTTATATTATTTTATTCCTATACGTCTTTGCACACACTAAACAGACAAATCGAAATGTGTTCTATTTTCATTGAACACATGCAGAGGAACATTCTAACCAATGAAATTGTAATTAATCATTTCCACTTGCGGCATTTCAACGATTGAAAACAAACTAACTTTTGTATATATAAAATATAATAACTGTAGATAACGGATTCTTAAACAGTTTTTACGAGCTAGATTTTGTTGCAAACCAGCCCTGCGATTCTGTAACTCACTTTTCGACTTACACAGCGGTTTTCGCAGCGGCGGTCGCTCTCAAATCAGTCGTGAAGCACTCATTTTAATATTTGGCGTTCTGAAAAGGTGGGAGCTTGTAGTGTTAGTGTTTATCAGAATGCCAAATCATAAAATGAGTGCTTGTTGAAGCTGTGTCGATGTTGTAGCGCCACGTGGCGCATTTATAACTTACGCCAGCCCTGCGATTCTGTAACTCACTTTTCGAACTCACACAGCGGTTTTCGCAGCGGCGGTCGCTCTCAAATCAGTCGTGAAGCACTCATTTTATTATTTGGCGTTCTGAAAGGTGGGAGCTTGTAGTGTTAGTGTTTATCAGAATGCCAAATCATAAAATGAGTGCTTGTTGAAGGCTGTGTCGATGTTGTAGCGCCACGTGGCGCATTTATAACATACGCCAGCCCTGCGATTCTGTAACTCACTTTTCGAACTCACACAGCGGTTTTCGCAGCGGCGGTCGCTCTCAAATCAGTCGTGAAGCACTCATTTTATTATTTGGCGTTCTGAAAAGGTGGGAGCTTGTAGTGTTAGTGTTTATCAGAATGCCAAATCATAAAATGAGTGCTTGTTGAAGGCTGTGTCGATGTTGTAGCGCCACGTGGCGCATTTATAACTTACGCCAGCCCTGCGATTCTGTAACTCACTTTTCGAACTCTCACAGCGGTTTTCGCATCGGCGGTCGCTCTTAAATCAGTCGTGAAGCAGTCATTTTATGATTTGATGGCGTAAGTTATAAATGCGCCACGTGGCGCTACAACATCGACACAGCCTTCAACAAGCACTCATTTTATGATTTGGCATTCTGATAAACAATCAACTACAAGTTCCCACCTTATCAGAATGCCAAATCAAAAATGAGTGCTTCACGACTGATTTGAGAGCGACCGCCGATGCGAAAACCGCTGTGAGAGTTCGAAAAGTAAGTTACAGAATCGCAAGGCAGGAGGCAAAATACGACCCGTATCACCCCGACGTCCGTCGTTCGACAACTAAGTGTTTTTAAGGCAGTTGCCGCGCACCACCACTATGGAACCAGCCCACTAACGTATTTCTGAACCAATTCGACTTAGGGTTCAAGAAAAGAGCGTGCCAATTCTTACAAGGCCGTCAACGCACTTGCGAGCCCTCTGGCATTGAGGTGGCGGTATCCCTTACCATCAGGTGAGCATCCTGCTCTTTTGCCCCGCTGTTCTATGTAGTCTGTGCCCGCCGTTCCACAACTGAGCGTTTTTCAAGACAGTTTTTGCCGCACACCACCGCTATGTGGAACCAGCTACCCACTGAAGTATTTTCGAACCATTTTGACTTAGGGTTCAAGAAAAGAGCGTGCCAATTTTTACAAGGCCGTCAATGCACTTGCGAGCCCTCTGGCATTGAGGTGGCGGTATCCCTTACCATCAGGTGAGCAGCCTGCTCTTTTGCTGTTCTATATAAAAAAAATAGTTCTGTGTTCGTTATTTGTCGTTTTCTAGATTTTTACAAGTTTTACAATTCCAAAACAGGAACATTAATTGTCATGATCGTTGAAAAATGTCGGATTTGAAAAAAAAACCTTATCATATTTGGATAGTACTTATCAAAAATTCCATGTGTTTTAAATTTCAAATTAATCCGTCGATAAAGTGACGGATTTGATATTTAGCATGTGATTTTTATAGAAAACTGTGTGATTTAATGTTATTATTTTTATTTTGTTTCACAACAAACCCTTTTGATTGCTTGTATGCCAATTTTCATAATAACAGAATATGAGGTAAAATAGTTATGACAAAAACTAACATGATTAAATTATTTTGAAATGGCTGCCCTATAAAGTTTACTATTTGTCAGATCCGTCACTATTCTACGATGTGACGATTTTATTGTTGAAAACTTATCTTCAAACGAAGGTGTAATCGACATTGTAGCTTAATAACATTCATGGCGGTCGTAAAAAGCGAATTAGATTGTAATAAATATTTTTACGTGTTCATCAACCTTTGATGTAGTATTGTGTCTCAGTCGTACCCAAAGGCTTCGCCAGAGGGGATGGGGATGGGAAGGAGGCAGCTAAGCCATCGAGGTCTCTTCTCTCATGAGAATCATTTGATTTACCTATTACTAACATGGGTTTTTTAAGTGAAACTTCTTTAGGCGCATGAGCATAAAATTTTTAAAAAACGTCACGAAGATGTGCAGCGTTTTTGTCGAAGTAAACGGAGAGGGCTTGAGACCGATTGAGAGAGAGTGAGAAGGGCGAATTACCTTATAGATATTCTATTTTTAAAATTAAAATTTCGTAAAGAGAAAAATTAGTTATATTAGTTAGTTTTATTTATGAAATATTAGTATTTTATATTTTATGCTAAATAATTGATTGAAATCTGAAATGGTGATGTGTAAATTAAAATACCACATGTTTTAACTTGTATTAAATTTCGACACTTTTAATATTTAAAGAAAACACTTTTTTAACAGATTGAATCCTGCCTTGCGATTCTGTAACTCACTTTTCGAACTCACTCAGCGGTTTTCGCATCGGCGGTCGCTCTCAAATCAGTCGTGAAGCAGTCATTTTATTATTTGGCATTCTGAAAAGGTGGGAGCTTGTAGTTTATTGTTTATCAGAATGCCAAATCATAAAATTACTCTTCACGACTGATTTGAGAGCGACCGCCATGCAAAACCGCTGTGTGAGTTCGAAAAGTGAGTTACAGAATCGCAGGGCTGCATCTTTTAGTCGATATCAACTCCGGGGAAATAAGTACAAATAATATAACTTTTTCTACAGCTGTGTTACTTTTTGACATTCAACACCGTTTGTCTTCAGTCACCGTGACCACGCAGGCTGTACCTGCACAGGTGGACCTCTCCGGTAGACCGTAGTGTGTATGGCCGGCATAAAGCAAAGTCGGAAAAAAATTTAAAATTGTGTAAAATAATTATAAGTTTATAATAATACATAGCTACAATCCGTTAAAAAAGTGTTTTCTTTAAATGTGTAAAAGTTATGTTAATAAAGACAACACTTTAATATTTTAATGACAATTAAATTCCTAACATATCTTTCTTTTTCCCTCCCTCTAAGTACCGGAAATCTAAAGTTTTAGATTTGTATAAATATGAACAAGACTTAAAAATTAGTTTGCCAAAGAAGTTACACTTCTGACGTGTACTTTGTACGCACGCACTTTTTTTATGTAATAGAAGGCAAACGGGCAGGAGGCCCTGATGTTACAACCGCCGCCCATGGACACCCACAGCCAGAAGGCTCGCAAGTGCGTTGCGGGTTTAAGAATTGGTACGCTCTTTTCTTGAAGGACCCTAAGTCGAATTAGTTCGGAAATACTTCAGTGGGCCGTAACACATAGTGGTGGCGCGCGGCTAGAACTGCCTTAAGAAACGCTCTGCCTCGCGAACTCACACAGCGGTTTTCGCAGCGGCGGTCGCTCTCAAATCAGTCGTGAAGCAGTCATTTTACGATTTGGCATTCTGATAAACAATAAACGACAAGCTCCCTTCGCTTGTCAAGACGTAATGTGAAATTGCTTAATACCATGAGATTCCAAAAATGACGTGAGTGACGAAGGGAGCGTTGTTAGTACGAGGTGAACTCACGGATTAACAGAATCACACGGCAGTTGTCGGACAGACGTGGTGATACGGATGGTATTTAGTATTCTGCCTTGACGATGATGATACTCAGCTGCAGGTATTAGTCCGAACACCTCCTCTGAACACTCACCATATACGTTTAGTGGTTATATAGAACTCCTATCAATGTTTTTAAGGGATTTTTAAAATCGTTTTTATAATTTTATGTATGTAATTTAAATTTCTGTTTACATTTCGCTTATAATTGTATTTGAGTTAATCAGACTTTATAAAAAATACTAGCTGACCCGGCAAACGTTTGTTGTGCCATGTATAATTATTTCTAGGAAACATTTTTTTAGTTCAATAAAAATAACTATCTACTAAAATAAAAACTAGGTTGATCGTAGAGGGGTGAAAATTAGGGGTTGTATGTATTTTTGTATGCTGTATCATAAAAAATAAAGCAAAAAAAAATGTTTTGGGGTGGACACCCCTTATTAGGGGTTTGAAATATAGATAGAAGCGGATTCTCAGACTTACAGAATATGCATACATTTTTTTATAATAATCGGTCGAGCCGTTTCGGAGGAGTATGGGAACGAACATTTTGACACGAGAATTTTATATATTAAAGATTATCTGTTAATAAATTGAAGGACACTCCTGAAAGTTTGTATATATTTTTGTTATTTCGTATTAGTGATGTATCTGTCAAGTTTCCTTATTAAATAAAAACATTTTTTTTTAATTTTATTCACTTTTACACAAATACCTTGTATGACCACAGATATACATACCTAGAGTCTGGTGTGTATTCACTCCCATAGACAAGATTATATCTACGTCCGCCATTTTGTTTCTCTTGCTTTTTGATTGAAAACTCGACTAATGGGTACACAGTCGTATCGTAAATACCACGATTTCTAAAACATTTGCTCTACATCAAAACTTTGTCTTTGACATTAAAGTATAGAGGGGTAAACGCGCCAATGGGACGCACAAAAAGAGTAGTCGCAGCCCATGAACAACCATTTTGGTGGCTGCGTTGCCAAGGAGTCTTTCCGGATCTCATGAAACACAGTAAAGTAGTTCCGTTGTTCAAATCCGGTGATAGTAAAGAACTCAATAATTATAGACCTGTGTCAATTCTGCCAGCTCTCAGTAAGGTTTTTGAAAAGTTAATGCTCAATCAAATGTTATGTCACTTTAATAAAAACTCCATCTTTCATGAACAACAGTACGGTTTCACCAAAGGGCGTTGTACAACTGACGCCGGTGTCTCCCTAATCAAGAACATTTTTAACGCTTGGGAGGAAGCACAAGATGCCATTGGAATCTTTTGCGACCTTTCGAAGGCGTTCGATTGCGTAAACCATGAGACTCTTCTGCTGAAACTTAATCACTACGGGATTAAGAACAAAGCTCTGGACTTACTAAGATCTTACTTGAAAAACAGACAGGTTAAAGTTCAGGTTAACGGCATAAACTCGTTAGGGTCTGAAATTACAATGGGCGTTCCTCAGGGTTCAATATTGGGTCCATTCCTTTTTTTAGTATACATAAATGATTTACCCCAATTAGTTCAGAATAAACCGAAGATGGTGTTATTTGCAGATGACACATCATTGATTTTTAAAGTAGATCGACGGTCACAAAATCGTGACGACGTGAATAACTCTATTCTTCGGGTCCAAAATTGGTTTACGGTAAACAATTTGGCACTGAATGATAAAAAAACTAAATGTATTAGATTTACGTTGCCAAATGTTAAAAGTAAGGAATGTGACATAATGTTGAATGAAGGAAAACTGGAATTTATTAATCAAACGGTTTTCCTAGGCATCACGCTAGACGAGAAGTTACAATGGGGACCTCATATCACATCTCTTGCGGGGCGGCTGAGCTCAGCCGTTTATGCGGTTAGAAAGATAAGATATTTAACCAATGTAGAAACTGCGCGTTTGGTCTATTTTAGCTACTTTCACAGCATAATGTCTTACGGCATTTTACTGTGGGGTCGGGCTGCTGACATAGAATCCATTTTTATTTTGCAAAAGAGAGCGGTCAGAGCCATTTATAATCTACGTCGTTGCGAATCTCTCAGGGAACTATTTAAAAAGATTAATATTATGACAGTACCTTGCCAATTCATTTATGAAAATATTATGTATGTAAGAAAGAATCTACATCTTTTTAGTAAAATAAATGAAAGACATAATTTTAGTACTAGAAATAAAGATAAAATAGCTCAACCATCTTTCAGATTAGCCAAAGTTCAAAATTCATTTATGGGGTACTGTGTGAAATGTTACAATAAAATACCTTGTGACATTTTAAAACTAAATGAACGAAAATTTAAATGTTTTATTAAAAGTACACTTTGTAAACAAGCATATTACAAATTAGATGATTATATTCAAGATAAGAATGCTTGGAAACATGCTGGTCCTGCTCCATAGGACAATCCTATGATTGGCTCTATAGCCTGGACAAAATCAAATTGGTTGCTGATTTTTTGCTAAAAAAAAATATGTTAATTTTTGTTATTATTATTTTTTTTTTTTTTTTAAATTTATATAATGCTACAAATGTAATTATTTTTTTTGTATCTCACACACTGTTTTGTTGTGTTTTTTTAATATTTTTATTACTCTTTAATGTTAATATTCTAAGGTTTCGATATTTGTAAATATGTGAGGAACATGTATACTAACTTTTTAGTATAGTAGTTTATTCTAAGAGTACATTGTCTTCACATATAATTATTTAACAAATGTAACAAAATATTGTAAACCTATTTTAAAAGAGTAAGTGTGGAGTTTCTTGCCCATTCTTCTCCACACGAAACTACCTCCTTTGGAAGGGGCAACTAGAATCATCTTTATATTTTTTTTTTGACGTTCAAAAGTGCCATTTTAGATGGTCTAATTGAAATAAACGATTTGACTTTGACTTTGACTTTGACTTTTACTATAAGTACGTGTTTGGCTAGTTACAGCAAACAGTTTTTTAAATCACAAACCTTTAAAACGCTGTAACTAAGGAAGAAAAATGTACGCGCGGAAATATTATCAAATATGCTGTATGCAGTAAATTTATGTATTTGGGTACTTTCAATTGCAATTCAAGATGTAAGATTAGTTTATAATTATGATTAGATCTAGAAATGCAGTGGGTCATTTGGTAATGTAATGTTTGGTTGAAATAAAATGTCGTAAATGGTAAAAAAAAACTAAAACTGTAGGTAAACGAATGTAAAAATCACACGCCGCAGAAATGCTGTAAGTAGCGTTAAGTTTTTAAATGGGAAGAAGTAAGTATTTGTAAAGTAAAAAATGCAGATTTTCTTTTGCTGTAAGTATAAATTGTCTAAAATGACTGGATTTTGGTCTACATACAGCAATTAATCTTACTAAACAAAATATAAGTACGGGCGTTTTCAACCGCGTATGTAATTTTTTTTTCATCGTAGAGACACAGGACCCGGGACATTCGATGCGGTTTTTTTTTCTGATTCTAATGGCAGTAAAAAGTCACTTTAGGTATTTTGTCTACTTACAGCAAATAATATGCTTTCCTACGTCGATATATACAATAATAATAATAAAAATCTAAAACCCTAATAAGCATAATCCAAAAGCATGACAATATGGCGCGATGTATGCGGGTTCCGGTCAACGGAATCCCCTAATCAATGTTTGCTTATAAATTAAATTTTAACAACGGAAACGCAAAAGTAAATACACCTTTGGGTAAGATTCAGAAGCTTGACAGCCCTGAGTAGAATTCCGTACGTCATAAACGTTGACAATTGACATACAGGCCATTCGCAGGCTGTTCGCTTTTCTAGAATAAAAAGTAGGAAAAAACTAAATTTTTGTCCTTTTGAAGTTATACTTCTTTTGGCGGGTTAGGGAAATGATGAGAGTAAATTTTTACGATGCGCGCGCACACCGTCTCAAAAAACCGACACCCTGAAGTTGCATAGTCAACATTTTAAAGTAAAAAATGTCCATTTCTTTAATTATTTATAAATAACTTTTGTGATATTTAAATAAACTTTATTAAACTAGAAAATGCGTTATAATAAAACTTTCAATGTATTAAATACCTTTTTTCTATTGTTAGTGTCGTTTTTTCTACAACCGAAGGCTAAAGATAAAATTTTAAACATATTTTTATCTTGTTAGGCCAAAGAAGTATAACTTCTAACGCGTGTACATAAGTACACACGCATGTTTTTAAATTAAACATTAATATTAAACATACCGAGGAGCGACGTCATATATTAAATCAAATAGTTCTTCCATGTCCTGTTTCTTATTCGGGACTTCATCAAGCCCAAAATCACCAGAGACATTTAATAACGGCACTTCGACTCTAACAAAATCTCTCTCTGTCGATGTTTCTTGTGTGTGATAAATTGTCTGTTTCGTTTCTTCCGTCTCCTCTTCTGTATATACTGGACTATAAAAAATATTTTAACCTTTACGCTAGAATTACATAGTATTTTTTTATGTATACACAACACTATCTACAATTTCTTATATTCTTTAAAGTGTTTCTTCTTCTTTTTATCTTAATATATATAAAATACGTGTCACGTTGTTTGTCCGCTATGGACTCCTAAACTACCGAACCGATATCAATTAAATTTGCACACCGTGTGCAGTTTGATCCAACTTAAAAGATAGGATAGCTTACATCTCAATTTATACCCGCAATATTATTTTACAGATGGCGCTGTGTTGAAAGTACCAACGTTTCACCTAAGCTACAATTTAATGGCATTTCCACCAAAAAAGCATGGTGGTCCCCATGACTGGTGTTCTCCTACCGTTTCCCTGGAATAGTTTGCTACTATGTAATATAACGAAAACCTTAGCCACAGGAGTAGCCGAGTCTGCTAGTTTATTTATAAATTGTAAAAGAACGTGTGTGCATACAATACAAGGAAATATGACACACATACACATAAATTATTTTGGAACTAAATAAATAGCTAACAAAAAATATACTTGATAAAAAAATATTTACATTTACTTAGTACTTACTTGATAAATCAGTGGCGCTACAACGTTTTTAGGTCTAGGCCTCAGATTTCTATATCTGTTTCATGATCATTTGTCAACTAGGCAAGTAGGTGATTAGCCTCCTGTGCCTGACACATATCGTCTTTTTGGGTCTAAGCCATGCCGGTTTCCTCAAGATGTTTTCCTTCAGCGTTCGAGCGAATGTCAAATGCGCACATAGAAAGTAAGTCCAATGGGTGTACCATTGGACTTTCTTTCTTAGCCGGGGATCGAATCTACGACCTCAGGGATGAGAGACACTAGACCATCACTGCTCATTTACATATCTATAGTTGGTATTATTACAGTTATTATACATTTAGTTTTTACCTGGTTTCAACAGTCTTCGGTGTAGTTTTCAATGTATAATATTTTGTATAATTATCGGGTTTAATATTGAATATGTCGTCGGGGAATGCGCCCCAGTAGCCACCAAACGTCTCACCCAATTCGTATATGTGTAATTGGTTGTGATTTGGTCCGCACGATTTTGCAATGCTACGCTCCGATACTATTTGTATTACCAAAATAATGTTGTTACCGAATTCAGTTCTAAAACAAATATATTTATGCATATTCTATAATTCAAATTCAAATTCAAAAATCATTTAATCATATAGGGAACACATTGTACACTTATGACTTGTCAGTAAACAAATACATATTAATGCTTCTAATTTTACATTTAGTGCCAGTTCTCAAATCAAGGGCGTAGAACGGAAGAGAAGAACTGGCAATAACCTCTCCGCCACTCTTTTTAATCGCCATTTTTTTTTACACAACGTTTGTAAGGAGCTGCAACCATTAAACCATGTTCCACATGACATCTTAAGTAATTAATAATATAAATCAAAAACAAAGAGTTGTCCTCTATCAGCAGGAGGCATGGTGAAATAGGAGCACGCACTTACATTGTCGTGTGAACAACACGCAAACACATAGTCGAAATAATTAAACATCACCGCATACACGAAATCAAGTACGACCAGTCACCACTAGTAGCACCCGTTCACGAGTATGACGCATGGCCAGCCATCGGCATATACAGTTTACCAATAGTTATTTTATTTAATAAATAAATAAATCAGTGGCGCTACAACCTCTTTAGGTCTGGGCCTCAAATTTCTGAATCTGTTTCAATCTAATAGGCAAGTAGGTGCCTGACACACGCCGTCGACTTTTTGGGTCTAAGACATGTCGGTTTCCTCACGAAGTTTATTTCACCGTTCAAGCGAATAAATGCGCACATAGAAAGAAAGACCATTGGTGCACAGCCGAGGATGGAACCTACGATTTCAGGGATTAAAATCGCACGCCGAAGCCACTAGGCCAACACTGCTCTTTTATGTTACTTATTATCTACAAAAAAACGGGCTTTCAAAATATATTTTAAAAATAACTAAGTCGATTTGGTTACTTTCCGTGAAATTTGTGGACAGACGTAATCAAAGAAGTTCAGGGCAGGAGATACAAAAGTAACTGATTACCTCCTAAGTGGGTAAAAAAAGGGTGCCTGTACTTATGTACGCGCGTAAGAAGTTATACTTCTTTGGCATTATTAAAAATAGTTTTTGATTGCATGCAAATAATTAATTACAATTCAATAATCAAAGACTGGACGTCATTATAGGTCAATAAAGTTCAGTTTACATTTGAAAAATTAAATAAATAAATATTTATTATTATTCTCTTACATTAAGTGTGGCATAAATTCTATTATTATTCGAATGTTGTTTTTAAATTATGTCCAATGCCGTAGCGTCTTCCGTGGGCAACTTCATTCTGTTAATTTTGTGTCACATTTCACGTGTAAAATTTCACTCTCAAGTCTCATCAATTGTTCATAACGTGCCTAAAGAAGTATAACTTCAATAACTAACCTAACACTAATGGAGCAGCTGTACGGCAGTTGGAGTCTTGAGAAGTGTAATATTTCCGAATTCGCATCCACGACATGCTTCCCCAAGAACACAGATGGCACCACGCGTCGCCTACAATGCTCGGAGATGTCCTTCTGATGGACAAACTTACGCACAGCTATTGAATTTACTTCGAGGAGAAATGCGAAAATAATTATTATTTTCATTTTTTAACGACGTGACCAACTAGATTGTTGTTTTGTCAAAATGACAAACTTCGTCAACAAACTTTATTTCAATTAAATTCAAAAGTATAACCAAAAAATATATTTTAAATCATATTCAAATAATTATTAAAGTATTGTAATAATAATAGAATAGTCTGTGAAAGATACCAGAACTAAATATGTCCGTGTATAAATATGTGTATAATATACACGTTAGAAGATCTAAAAAATTTGTAATTACAAAAACTTTGTATTAAAACTGTCTATTGTAATAACATTAATTATAATATATTTTCCTCCACTTGGTTAATAATCGTTTCGGCGAATTATGCATATAAAAAAGGAATTTAGGAAAACTTACATTTATACATTCGACTATCCAGTTTAAGGTGCAATTACGTATGACAAAAAAAATACTTTTCTTGACTTGATTCTAATAAAGTTGGATCAAAAATATTAGGTAAAATTGAATTTAAATAAGCAAAACATATTCTCACTTAAAGTTATAATAAAACAATTGGCGCTAAAACCAAGCTCTTACAGCGCATGCCCTAAACCACAGAATAATATCGGTATCTGACACTTGGAATACGCCACAGAATGGCGCGTGTCGCTTTTACAGTGTTCTTATGAAAACTTTTTAAACGACGAAAAAGACATTTACAAACAATTCGCAATAGCAACATAAAAGGTATTATACGTTGAATTATGTTGTAATTAATTAATATTTATATGCGTAACTTTTACATGTTTAAAAATAAATATTATCACGTCATTGTAATAAAGTTCAACAACTTTCGCATAGGTTAAGATAGTTGCGTATAAATGAATAAATTGCTAGAAAATTTATTAATTAATTTATTGCTTTTTTCTCGACCCACCAACAGCAGGGCAAGCATGCCTTAAAATTCGAAACAAAGATGTAACTGATGCAATTTTATCTTGTATGTAACTTTGTTGACAAAACTGTTTTTCTAGGCATAACAATAGATAGTAAACTCCAATGGGGCCCACACATAGAGACTCTTTCGAATAGGCTGAGCTCTGCAGCATATGCAGTAAGGAAAATCCGACAGTTTACTGATGAGGACACGGCTAAAATTGTGTACCATAGCTACTTTCATAGCGTTATGTCGTACGGCATTTTACTGTGGGGTGCTGCTGCAGAGGTTCAATCCATATTTGTGCTGCAGAAGCGGGCTGTTCGGGGTATTTGTTGTGTTTCTCCGAGGGAGTCGGTACGGAATAAGTTTAAGGAATTAAATATTATGACACTATCTGGTCAATATATTCTTGAAGCCTTGTTGTATGTCCAAAAAAATATAAACGATTTTAAAACTAATGGTGACTTTCACCAGTATAATACGCGAAATAGAACTAATTTGAGTGTACGACCAACCAGGCTCCAAAAGATAAACCACTCCTTATATGGAAATTGTATACGTTTTTACAACAAGCTCCCAAGCGAAATTAGAGAATTATCACTAAATAAATTCAAAGCCCTCGTTAAACGAAAATTAATCAACAAAGCTTTTTATAAATTTGAGGACTACTTAAATGATCCTAATCCTTGGGATTGAATTGCTCCAGTTCAAACAATTTGTATGACAATACTTGGCGATTAAAAAGAGTGGCGGAAAGTTTCTTGCCAGTTCTTCTTACCCGCTCTACGCCCTTGACTTGCGAACTGGTAGTAAATGTAAATTTACGATTAATTTAACTTGACGATTCAAAAGTGTACTTGGTTACCTACTTGAATAAAGATATTTTGAGTTTGAGTTTGAATTTTATCTTTTAAACCAGGTTCGGCTGCAGGATTGGATGGAATCTCACCCCAACATTTGAAAGATTTAACATCGCATTCTGTGGGTGATGCAGGCGAGCAACTTATTAACTCGATCACAAAATTAATAAATTTTATGTATTCTGGGGATGTCAATACAGAAATTGTTCCCATTCTTTTCGGCGCGAACCTCATTGCCCTCACTAAAAAGGACGGAGGGGTGAGACCAATTGCTGTTGGATCAACACTAAGACGTCTGGCTTCCAAAATTGCTGTTCGACATATTTTACCAAAATTAAATTCAGAATTTGAACCTGTACAGTTAGGTTTCGGTGTGAAAGGAGGGTGTGAGGCAGCCGTCCATGCCCTACGCTCTTTCCTAAGTCACGGACAGCCAGACGTGTTGCTCAAAATTGATGTGAAAAATGCATTTAATTCGGTAAATAGGGATACCCTGCTGACTGAAATAAAACAACATATACCTGAAATATACAATTATCTTCTTCTCAGTTACGCTGATCCAACTAAATTGTTATATCGTTCTAATGAACTTTCCTCGGAAGTAGGTTGTCAACAGGGTGATCCCCTTGGGCCTGCAATTTTTAGTTTGGCTATAAATCCGATAATCAAAAATCTAAATTCTAATTTCAATGTTCGGTATTTGGACGACGGAACCCTAGGAGGTGATGTGGATACTGTGTTTTCGGACCTTCTTTTAATCAAAAATAAATTTGAAGCCATTGGTTTGGAGCTTAATTTTAACAAATGTGAACTTTTCATAAATAACTGCGACTTAAATTTAAATGATGTAAAAAAAAATTCAAATTTTGGCTCCAAATATTAAAATAGTTAACAGGAATTCCCTTTACCTTTTAGGTTCTCCAATTTTTAATGAATCTATTTCTGATTATATTCATACTTCAATTACTAAATGTCAAAATTCTGCTGACCGTCTCCTTGAAATTAGTCCACATTATGCACTTTGCATCTTAAAATTCTGTCTTTTCCTCCCAAAATTCACGTATGTGCTCCGTTGCTGCTCCTTTTGGAATCACCCAGATCTTTTAACACCATTAGACGACTTAATCAAAATTACCTTAGAATCACTTCTTAATATGCAGCTGAACGAGCAATCTTGGACCCAAGCTTCCCTACCCATCCGTTATGGTGGTTTAGGGATTCACAAAATTTCCAGTGTCGCTTTGCCAGCCTTTCTATCTTCTGTCCATAGTTCAGCAAATCTCATAAGTAAAATTTTAAGGGCTTCCCCTTCAAACTTTGAGATTGCTGGCTTGGAAGAAGCTAGAAACGCTTTCTTGATTGCATGCCCAGGTCAAAATTTTCCATTATCTCTAAATTCACAGTAGAGCTGGGATGACATACACTGCAAACTGACTTTTGACGATCTTTTGAGTTGTAGTACAGGTTCGGCGCGTGCTAGGCTTTTGGCCGTGGGTACGCATGAGGCCGGCTACTGGCTTCACGCTTACCCATCGTCAAATACAGGAACTTTTCTTGAGCCTGACACGCTTCGAATCGCAACCTGTACGGCTTGGGGTTCCGGTCTGCGCTCCTCATATATGTCCCTGTGGCAGTGATGTCGACAAGTTAGAACATCACGGCCTGTCATGCCAAAAAAGTGCAGGCCGCTTCTCGAGACATGCCGCACTTAACGATATCATACGCCGTTCCCTTGCCACCGTCAACGTGCCAAGTCTACTTGAGCCGAGTGGTATTGCAAGAGACGATGGCAAGAGACCGGACGGTATGAGTTTGATTCCATGGAAGATGGGTCGGGTACTGGTATGGGATGCAACCTGTTCAGACACGCTGGCCCCTTCCCATCTACATGGAACCAACTACAGAGCTGGTGCGGCTTGTGAAGCGGCTGAAAAAAAATAAAGCATGCAAATACAGGGGTCTGGGCTCAGAATTTGATTTTGTCCCATTCGGTGTCGAGACCCTTGGTCCGTGGGGTCCTAGCGCTTTAAGGCTTTTTAATGAAATTTCAAAAAGGTTAGTCGACATCACAGGAGACCGAAGATCTGGCAGCTACCTCGGACAAAGAATTAGTCTAGCAATTCAAAGGGGGAACGCTGCCAGTATCTTCGGAACCTTGCCTAAAGGGACTCCTTTTAATGATATATTTTAGTTTATGTTAAGTTTAGTTATTTATTTCAATGTATATTATTTTATTATTAGTTTTATGTGCTTATGAACGTAAATAAAAATACGAATATTATTAAATTGCTAGAGGCATTATGTTATTATAGTCTCGTCGACAAGTTGAAAATGGTACAAAATAGATATACTGCTCTTAAAATTATGTGCGATAGCTCATTGGATCCGGAATGACGTCTAGAAAAATGTGCCAAAATTTTTTTAACAACATTACTTGGATTTTTAAGTTTTTGTTTAAGTAAAAAAATTGTTATAAACAAAGTATAAATATTTTTTTTACTTTTATGGCACGATCTTGTTAAGTATGTATGTAAGAAAGACTTTACGATTCGAAAGAAGCAAAATTTCGTTAGTTAACAATTGTTTAACTTGTTGAAAAATTAACTTTAAGTAAAATTTCCAACGGGAATAAATTAATTATAGTGTTCAAAACACACCATATTTTTTTTTAAATTAAAAAAAAAATCAATACCTTAAATAAATTAATTAATGTGCCGTACTCGCTTTTGACGCCACGCGCGAATCCTAAAAATGTCACGCGCAGACCTATTTTCAGCGTTAAATTAAAATTATAACTAATGGAGATAGAGTTCCGGGAGTTAGGAGTTTTTTATTGGAAATTTCCTCCTCTTTCAGAATTTCGTAAATATTAATAGTTTATTAAATATTGGCAAAAACCAAAATGCCATTTTTTTTTCATCTTTAATTGTTTATAACTTTTGCAATTTTTTATGTGCTAACACAGGCTTTTGGCACATTTTTCTAGACGTCATTCCGGATCCAATGAGCTATCTCACATAATTTTAAGAGCAGTATCTCTATTTTGTACCATTTTCAACTTGTCGACTAGACTATAAAATTTCTACATTAATTATAGAAAATGTAGTATTTTGTTTGTAACAATTTAAAAAATAACTAAACCCATTGTTTTAATAGTTCTCTCTTCCTCTATCACGTGACATAGATTATGTATTGTTTTTATAAAATTACTTTAAATAGGCGAAGCAATACAGCGAGGAAATGCTGCTAGCGTTAA